GCCAAAAGGAGAAATGGACAGTGGCATAGAGGAATTCTTCAGCAGCTCTTGCCCAATAATCAAGTGAAAATTTGGTTCATGGATTATGGCAGTAGTGAGGCTATCCCCTCCATGCATGTGAAGAAACTTAAACAGGATTTTATTTTAGTACCATTATTTTCATTTCCATGTTCTCTGACATATTTACACAGTCCAGATAGAGATGCCAGAAAATCTCAACTGAGTGTATTTAAACAAGCCTTGTTAGGACAAATAGTATATGCACATATTGATTGGTTCAATAAGGATGAACATTTGTATTATGTAACACTACAAACTCAGGAGTCTACAATTAATTCTAAGTGTCTGCTGAAGACTGCAGACACACAGGTCCTCTGTCCAGTGTCTGAATCAAAAATCTCTAATATGTTTAAGGAGACTAGTGCTTCTGACGTAAACAGCTTTGCAGTTGACTGCTTTACTGGAAATACTGAACCATTGATAAACTCTCCAAATAAAAACACTTTGAAAGTAGGTTTTCCTATTAAAACTGTAGAGATGGAGATACAGACTGCCTATATAGCTTTTGTGGCCTATGTATTAAACCCATCAAATTTCTGGGTACGCACTAATGAACATCAGAATGAACTTCAAGATATAATGAAAAATATAAACAAATCTTATGATTTGTGTGAAAATGATGAGCTGATTCTAAGAAATCCAGAACCTGGATTATTTTGTTGTGCTAGATACAGCAAGGACAGACACTTTTATAGAGCTGTCATCACTGAAATTAATGGTTATAAGATTAATGTTTATTTTTTAGATTATGGAAATACTGATTCCATACCATTTTTTGATGTAAAAATTTTGCTTCCAGAGTTTTGTGAGATGCCTGCCTTAGCCATGTGCTGTTCACTTGCACATATATTTCCTGTTGAAGATTTATGGGTGAAGGCAGCAATTGACTATTTTAAAAAAATTGTCTTGAACAAAGCAATTTTGCTTCAAGTCATAGCAAAAAAAGATGACAAGTACATTGTAAATATTCAGAGTATTGAAGCCTCAGAAAATATTGATGTTGTCTCTCTTATGTTACAAGCTGGATATGCAGAATGTTGGGAGGTAGAACCAGAATGTTGTCCCAAATCTGTAAGTGAATATTCAGTGTTAAATTTAAAATATAAAAACAAAGTTAATATTGAAGTCCTATCTGCCCTTCTTGAAGGACCTAAACCTAAAAAGTACCATTCAAATAAGCTAAAAGAAAGGAACCTTTCCTTGTTAAAGTCCCCAGCTGTTAATTTCTCAGATTTAAAAAATCCTTTCACCTTGTCTGTGGGACTTGAGTCGCTACAACCTTATAAAGAGTATATGTTTAAACCAGGAACAGTCCTTGAAGTCAAATGTTCTTCTTATTATGGCCCAGGTGACTTTTCATGCCAGCTTCGATGTAAGTTAGAGGACCTAAAATTACTAATGGAACAAATTCAGAATTATTATAGCATTCATTCTGATCCTTATCAGATTGGGCAGATTGCTTGTGTTGCTAAGTATTCCAAAGATGGGAAGTGGTATAGAGCTGCTATTTTGACTCAAGTATCAAGAAAAGAATTTGACGTAGTATTTGTTGATTATGGTTACCAAGAAAGGGTTTTAGTTAAAGATATTTGTGCTATTAACCCACGTTTTCTTTTTTTAGAAGTCCAAGCCTTCAGATGTAGTCTTAACCATTTAGTTGAACCCATTAGTTGTAAATTCAGTTGGACAAGAGAAGCATGCAGAGACTTTGGGAATTTTATTTCTTCATCTAGAGGATTATTAACTTGTGTCATTTATGCCTTAGTTCTTATATATCCAAACTGTTTATGTAACTTAGTGGATTTACAGTCTCCACTCACTAGTGTAAAAGAATTTCTCACTAATCATGGCTCAGCACAGTATAATACATTATCAAGGCCATTTCCATCTTCAGTTAGTCTTTATAGTTACTGTTATTCTTCCTTTAACATAAAAATTGGAAGCGAGGAAGAAATATACATCTCTCACATATATAGTCCCAAAAAGTTTTATTGCCAACTCAGTAGAAATAATAAAGACCTAGAGACAATAGAAACAAAAATCACAGAGATTAGTAACCTCAAAAATTGTCCAAAATATGATCCTAGTAAAATGAGATTGTGCATATCTAAGTACATAGAGGATGGTCTCTCTTACCGAGCTTTAGCAATGCCAACAGATTCATTAACTGACTTTCTGGTCTATTTTGTGGACTTTGGAAATAAGCAGTTAGTAGAAGAAAGTACATTGAGGGCTATTTCAGATCAGTTTCCAGAGTTGCTGTTTACACCTATGCAAGCTATTAAGTGTTTTTTGTCAGATCTTAGAGATGTTGATATTCCAGCAGAAATCTGTAGCTGGTTTGAAGAAAATTTCTTGGGAAAACTGTTAAGGGCAATAATATTGTCCAGGGAGTCAGATGGCCAGCTTGGTGTAGAATTATATGATGGATGTCAACATATAAACCAGGAAATTAAAATGTTGCTTCATGCTTATGGAAAAAAACATTGTGACCAAGCACACTGTGTGGAAAAGGGTCCTAAAATAAGTGAGAATAAGAGACTTGCTGTTTCTTTGAAAGGCAAAATAGAAAACAACTATCAGCATAATACAAATAAAACTAATCTAGTAACATACTCTGAAAGCAAAATGGATCAATTAACAAATCCTGGAAATACATATGCTAAGCTTTTGAAACCATCAGTTTGTTATAAAATTGAACCGGTGTCAAAAAACAAAGTGAAATCTTTGAATGATGGACTGAAAAATAAAGGTTTAAAAAGTGTCTCTGGATCTGCACATACAAAAAGTGTCCCTGGATCTGATAAAAATGATGTGGGCCGCAAATCAGTAAGGGTTGTATCGCAGTCTTTTATCCAAGAACTAATTCAAGCAGCCTCTCGAAACCCATCTAATCTTACTAGACCACAGATCAAAGATCTTCCTCAACCCCAAATTTACTTGAATGCCAAAATTAAAGGTTATGTTTCTAATATCAGTAATCCAGCAAGTTTCCATATCCAGCTTGCGGAGAATGAAAATGCAATCATTAGACTTGCAGATGCTCTAAGTGAAAGAAGATTGAATATAGTGAAAGAGAGAAAATCAGTGAAGCCTATGGTGGGAGACCTTGTAGTTGCAGAATACTCTGGTGACCATGCCATTTACAGAGCAGTTATTAAGAAAATTTTGCCAGGAAATTCTTTTGAAGTGGAATTTATTGACTATGGTAACACTGCAGTAATAAACACATCCAAAATTTATGAATTTCAGAGGGAATTCTTGACCATTCCTCAACTAGGAATCCATTCTTTTCTTAGTGGAGTCAAGTGGAATGAGCCTGATGAAATATGGGACAGTAAAACTGTGGATTATTTCGTGTCAAGAGTGAGTAACAAAACAGTTTCTTGTGAATTTTTGAAAAAGCATGAGCAGAAATGGGAAGTCAATATCATTTGCGATGGAACATGTGTCATTAATGAACTACTGAAATGGACAGCCTGTTCAAAACTACAGAAAACAGTTTTGCAGCTGCCTGTGGCTGTCTCTCAAAAGGTGAGCTCTGGTGAGGATAATGAAAGGAAGAAAGGAAGGTCAGATGAGTGTGAAGGTTCTGGGATCCTTCAACCATCCTGCCAACAGCTGGTTAAGATTCCTCTTGAAGAGTTAAAACCTGGACAGCTTGAAAAGTCTGAGATACTTTCTGTCTCAAAAAGTGGGACATTTTGTGTGAAGTTATCCAAAAATAAAAAAATCTTATCAGATTTAACAGTATTAATCACTAAAGAAGTAAAAAACCCCTCTTTATCAATGGAAAATATTGAAAAAGGCTTAGAGTGCTTGGCAAAATCTAAAAAAACCTTGAAATGGTATCGATCAAAAGTAGCAAAGAAGTGTGTCGATGAGAAAGTGCTTGTTTTTTTAGTAGATTGTGGTAGGTATGAAATAGTACCTTTAGGTAATACCAAGGTGCTTAGTAATGAAATAAGAAATATTCCAAGACAAGCTGTGCCTTGTAAATGGATTTGGTGTGAAAATTTTAGAAACCAGTCATTTGAGTCCATTGTGTGTTTATTTGCTCATTTGGAAATAAATATTCTTTTCTTGAAATACTTAAACTCTGTGTGGAAAGTAGACATTTTGGTGGATGGCCTGTTACTTATGGAATACTTAAATTTAAATACAGTTCATGTTGAAAACAAACTTAAATCTTCAGAAACTATTTTTAACGTGGAATCGAAGACTCCTGTGTCATCATGTACAATAAGATCATATACTTGGACCCAACTCCAAAATGGAAAGCAATATTCTGGTATTGCCACTGCTGTTTGTGATCCGTCAGATTTCTGTGTTCAGTTAGAAGATTTCTTTGACACAATGAAATCTCTCTTTGTGTTGCTTTCTGATCTACCAGAAAACTTGCAAACAGTGCCTCAAGAGTGCATAATTCCTGGTGCTAGTTGTTTGTTCAAATACGATTTGGAAGATCAGTGGAATAGAGTAGAAATTTCTGAAGTCTCTAATCAGTATTTATTACTTGTGTTGATCGACTATGGATTTTTTGTTTACATACCTTATTCAGCTATAAAAAATCTGAAAGTTGTTCCTGTCGAACTTTTGGATATACCAAGGTTAAGTTATCCTTGTATCTTATATGGTATCTTACCTGCTAAAGGGAAGCATTGGAATGAAGAAGTGAGAAGTTTCTTTCAAGATTTCCTAAATAAACCAGGCTTAGTTTTTCAGTTTAGGAAGTATAAGTTTGAAACAAAACTGGAAGTAGATGTCATTCATGAGAAAAATAATCTGGCAGATATGTTAGTTGCATCTGGTCTTGCAGTGTATTCCAAAGATTCAGATCCTCTTAATGATGGAGTTAGTACTACTGGAGCTACTAAAATCCAGCATCAATTACAGAGCAAGCCTATCTTCCCATTGTTAGATCAAAATTGTTACAAAAGAGAAAATATAAGTTGTACATGCACTGAGAAACAAAAGCTGAAAGAGAAAACTGTAAAGAGGAGAGAGGTCTATAAGAGCCTCTTGAAAAGCCGTGTCAGTAAAAGATTATATTCTAGAAATGGAACTCTGAGGAAGAAGGCTGACATTGGAAAACATAATCCCCAAAGTACGGTTACATTTGATACGTGTTCAGCTTCATTTTGGGAACCACCTAATGGTTTAAAGACCAGCACCAACTGCATTGAAAACATTTTTGAAAAACCACCAACTGAAGAAATACAGGAAAATAACACAACGGATTTGAGAATAACAGTAAAGGCATCTCATGCTAATGAAAAAATTGCATCAGAGGAACACTTCAATGGTAAGTAGCTATTTTTTAAAAGATTTGTTTTTGTAGATTCTATTTTTGATTATTTTTTTGGGGGTTTAATCATTTAAGATACTATGTTCAGTTGGCCACCGTGTATAGTACATCCTCAGTTTTTGATGTAGTGTTACAAAGCTGTGATCACCAAGACAGCATGGCATTTTTGATTCTTTAAAAGCTTATTATATGTCAAAATTATCAAAATTGAAAATATCATACTGTAAGAAAACTTACTGGAAAATGTGAGTAAATGGATAAACTGGGACTGATCACTTAATTATAAAATGGAATGTGACTATTCCTTTTTTGAATGGTGACCTTTGAGAATGTAATGAAAGTGGAGAGCATTTTTAACCATATATGCATGTGTACATACATGACATTTTTTTAAATTTAAATTTCATTAGCCAACATATAGTATACATCATTAGTCTCAGATGTAGTGTTCAACAATTTATCAGTTGCATATAACATGACATTTTACAAGTAATTTCAAGGGTTTCACAAAACTAAAGCCCCATAGAGCTCAGGTTAATAAATCTTGCTATTAGTGAGCTCCTGGGCTCATTTTGAAGACCAGTTTTCTGTTCTAGGTTTCTTATCAGATGAAATATAGCTTTATTTAGGTTTTTTGAGTGTGTTTTTAGCATATTGCTAATGCAGTTAAACTTATGGAATAAACTGGAACTTATTTCCTCTTAAATTTTTTAGATGTCAAACTGATTCTATAATATATGCTATAGCTAGAGTATTGTCTGATTTTGCTTATGCACATTATATTTCATTTTCTGTGTGGATTAGTTACTGAGGATTTTGTAGGCTATAAATGTTCCCTGTTTAATGAATGGACTAGAAATCTGTTATTCCATGTTACAACTCGTATTATAGCAGGTTACAGTCTTTTAATCAGTGGAGGGATCTTGTTTTTATTGATGTATTTTAGAAAGAGTATTTCATTTGAATTCATATTTAGGTGTTTTATAGTGAATTGATAAATGCTTTAAAATTGGCTCTTATTTTTGAATATTTTGTATAGAATTAGCAGTTACGGTAGAGTGCTTACTATGTTCTTAGTGCTTAGTACCATGTACTAAGATTTTTGTACATATTCCCTCATTTAAAGCTTACCAAAATCAGTGAAGTAGGTTGATTTTTAGGTTTGCATGGAGTCTGATAACTAGTGCCCATTTCTTTGCCATTTCTAAATCACTTGAGGGACAAGGAGAGAAACAATTGGTGAGCAAAATATCCCATTTATTAAGAAAAAACCAAAAACAATATTGATAAATGTGGGTTTATATCAGTGGGAAAATGGGTTTACCAACACTGAATCAATAATTTAGACTTATCTGCACAGGCACAGAGGAGAACTTCTCCACATGGGGGGCCTACCCATGTAAAACATAAGGCTTGAGGCTTTTATCTCCAAAAAGGGAGGGAGGAGGAAGAGGCTAACCTAGCAGGTGCCTTTGTCCTTCTAAGCGACCAATCAGATTGGCCCTACTGCTGGCGTCAGTGAAGGAGCAAACAAACCTGAGGAGGGTTAGGCTAGGAGAGTGCCTCACCTGTGAGTACTTCTGCATGGAAGGAAACCTCAGGAATGGGAAGAAGTACCCCCCCCCCCAAATTATCACTATTGTATGGATGAGGCTCAGGAAAGTTAAATAAATTGCCCATGGATATAAAGACAGAATCTCAGTTCCTTATTTACTAGCAACTCTGATGTCTCCAACTCCAAAGCTTTTTGTTATTACTTATACTGCCTTTTGAAGAGCAGTTCCATCATTTGAGGAAGAGTTTTCAATAAGCTTTTGGCCCTCAGCCCATGCATTTTAGCACTTACATAATTTCTTTTATTACTTCACATGCGTGTATTTCCACCTTCATGTTTTTCTTATCAAATTCTTTAAGACCCCACTGTGAGCCCCCATCTCCATCCCACCTCCTGCATTCCTAGCACACAGTGAATGAATGAGTGAATTAAGTAAAAGTAGCTATTACAAAAGCAGTTAACCAAACATCAAATTATAGTTCTAAGAGAGGGCACCTGGGTGGCTCAGTTGGTTAAACGACTGCCTTCAGCTCAGCTCATGATCCTGGAGTCCCTGGATCGAGCCCCACATTGGGCTCCCTGCTCGGCAGGGAGTCTGCTTCTCTCTCTGACCCTCCCCACCCTCCCCCCTCTCATGTGCTCTCTCTCTCTCAAATAAAATCTTTTTTTTTTAAAAAAAAATTATAGTTCTAAGAAATAAAATTTGGAGTTTCGTTTAGGGTAAAATCATAGCTTTGAGACAAATATAAGAAATATGGTTTCATGGACTAAGAACTTACTAGTGCACTTGCTACACTCCGTTTTAAAACAAAACCAAATAAGAAAACGTCAGATGGTTCCATTGCCTTGAGTACTGTCCGCACTCCTAACGTTTGTTACTCGTCCAGCAGCAGGACTGTGGTAGCCACCGCTGTTTGCTATTACTACCTGCTCTGAATCTAGGGTAAAATCTGTGTGTGTGTGGTTTTTTCTTCTTGGTTAAAGTTACCAATATTTGAAACTCAGCTATTAAGCTAGAAAAGTAGCTCTAATGGCTGTGCTTTTCAGCCTGGGCTTTGCAGTGACATTAAGAAAGGAAGCTTTAAAAAAAATTTGGACGCCTGGGCCTCACTTCTAGAGATTGCATTTAGTTGGTCAGGCTGTGGTCTCACTGTCAGGACTTTAAAGCTCCCTAGGTGATTCTAAGGTCCAGCCAAGGTTGAGAACCACTGTTCTGGAGACGATTGTGGATAACTTCCTGAATTATTTTGTGAGAGAAAATACTAATTCTGGACTCTGAAAACTTAGAATCTATCCCTCTGGTATTTAGAGTCCAAACTATACATAATGAGTCACAGTAATTCTGTGCTAAACTTAGTGTCATTTTGTTAGAAATGGCCTTGAAGTATAATGCATTTATTTTACCTTGCCCAGGTATTGTTTTAATTATAGAAGTTGCCTCTTATGTTTAGAAAATTGACAACTTTTCCATAGTTTCAGCCTACTATAACATATCAATATTAAAATATTCAAGCTAATTGTTTTTATTTGCAGACTGTTTTCTCAAAATAAGTTACTAGTCTGTTTCCAGGATGTATTTGCTGTTGATTGCTCACTTGCTTGCTTGTTTTTCCCTGGAAGTCCTTGAATAGATAATTATGGGAACTAGAGAATGTAATAACCCTTTAAAAAAAACCCACAAAAATATCTAGTCACTCTTTGGTGATGAGGCAGTGCTTGATGCTGTTATGTGCTACTTTCCTCCAGTTGCTTATTTAACTGGAGGACACTTTTGAAAGAAATCTGGAATGTCAGCCCAGTTTTGAGGAGAGTTTTGTCTGACCTTTTACATTTGAGATGATATAGCTAGACATCCAAAGGGGAATGGCTGACAGGCATGTAAAATGTTAGACTGAATTCTGAAAATACAAGATTTGTAAGTGATACATACTTATGAATTACTTGCATTGAATCTAGCGTGGTATTTAAAAGTATGGGCAGTGAGGCCCCACTCCGAGTTTGAATTCTTGCTTCATCCCTTCTTAACTGTGAAATTGGAGGTAGGTTTTTTAACATATGTTTCTATAGTTAGTTTCTTCATCTGTAATACGCAGCTAATGATGACACCATTGGCTGCCTGTGAGGGCTATGTAAGTTAAAACACGTAAAACCTATTAGTATCTGGTACAAAGTACATGCTCATTAATTTTAGAAATAGTAGCTATCCTGATAAAGCTACATTTGTTTTTAAAATCTTTTGTGAAATAGTAACTTGAAAAATTGATGCTGCTCTGCATGAAATTGCAATACTTAGGACTATGTGTGTGTGTGTGTGTGTGTGTAATATATATACACACACATACACACACATGCATATTTGCAGTATAGTGGTTAGATTAGTGGTTAAATCTGGAACGTAGGATTTCTGATTGAGAGAATTATAGTTCTAAATAAAGATTAAAATAGGCTATATGTATTTTTTCCAAAATGGGTATATATTAGAAATTATTTAAGAAAATATATTTTTCGTTATATGTATAATCATATGCATAATTTACATGCCATATTTCATTCCTTTTTTAAAATTGTGGCTTTTAGAAATTAAGTAAAAATTCTGTTTATAGTAGGAATTTTCAAAATAAAGTCTTGACTATTAAACCCATAATGCTTGGAAAAGTATATTACAAAATACTAATTGTTCTTTTTTGCTTGCTTTTCAGTACAGGGAGATGAAAGCTCAGATCCTTTATGCATCAGTTTGGCAACAAATAATATATAGGATACCCAGTAATTACTGTCTCATTTTAGATGCTCCAAATATTATAACAAAAGTGGTAAGCATATGACCATTTCTAATACTAAAAGTATCTGAAAGGCATCTAGATTGTTCAGATTATTTTCCTAGCAGACAGTGATTAGAACGTTACAGAAATTTTATGTGACCAGGAATTATGCTGACTTGTTTTCAGAAAGGTTATTTAGGAAATGGGGTTCACTCCTGAAGTATTTTAAACATTTTATTTGATAACCCATTCTTTGCTTGTATTTTCAGTCATTACATAATATTTCACCATTATCTTACATCTTTCAGGTGTCTTTCCTGACTAAAGCCTTTGTGTCTGTTGCTACTTTGTAGAGTCATCGTTGCAGTCATGGATAATATAGAGAGAGTTAATGCTACCCAACCATATTCTCAGGAAAATATAGGTGCTTATAGGACTGACACTTAGTAGTAGAATATGGAAGAGAAGTCAGACTTAATCCCATTCTTCCTTCTCTTTAGCTCATGCAATGGGATTTTCCTTTTACTTTATTTTGCAGTTGTATTTATTTTTAATTTGGCTTTATATTTTTGGTTGTTTATTTGTTGTAGATACTTGTGACATTCAAGAACATTACTGTTTAATTGGAGGGGGTGATATTTTGTCAGTGCATTTACCTGTGAATTAGAATTTATTTTATGAGTAAACATTTATTGAGCAAATTCAGAGTATTTTGTTGCAAAGATAGAACCATAAAATCATACAGTTGCACTTAAAATCCATGTCTGCCAAATTGTTCTGAAGAACTAGAGATTTGGTGACTTAGAGAATATTTGAGAAAACTTAGAAATTTCCTAAGCTAGCTAGGGACAATCAAGTTTATCATTGGTACAATATTGTATATTGAGTGCACTGATATTGTTATTTTTTTGAGGTTAGGCAGTAATTTCCAAAATACTGCTGTTTATAAATATGAGTTTAAATCTGGTATCTTGAAAGTTTATTCAAGGCAGGGGACTTCATATTTTTACACTACAAATTAATCTGTGGTTTGTGGTTATTTTAGAGCAGATAATTGAACAGTGACTCTGTAATTTCTTTGAATATTTTGTGTCCCTTCCCCCATACCTCACCAGATTTTGTACAATTTAGAAAAGGGCTTCTATTGGAAAAATAATTCACTTCATTCAATTTCTGTGACTGTTGTATCACGGGGCTGCTTTTGTTGTTTGGTTTTGATACCATAAAGTATGGTAAAGATAGTGATTTGGTTAATTAAAGAAATGAATTTGAATGCCAAAATAAAGTAGTAATGGATGTTTTTGGTACCAGTTTTATCAGGAAGGGCCTCATACCCCTTCAGCTTTTCAGATTTAACTCCATTTATGTGTCTTCAGGTATAGTATTTTAGTTTGGAAATAGACAAACTTCACAAATTTATTGAAGCATTTAAAATAACGTTTTTACAAGCCTACATTTCAGTTAATTCCTACTTGATTTTTTTTTTTTTTAAATTTCGACGGCAGCCCAATATAGAAAGTAGCTGAAGATAGGATTTAAGTTTCCTTTTAAGATATAAGTGATTAATTTAAAACTATGGTTTTCCTTTTTTATTTTGAAGGCACATTTTCCCCCCTCTATGTTAGCTAGTTTATTACACTGTAAAATTACAACATGGAGGATGTATAGTAATTCAGAGTACTTTCAAATAAAAAAAAGCGTATTCATCTCAGGATTTACATTTTCATAGGATTAAGTTTTATTATATTTTACAGATAAGTCAATAGTAATGCTTTTTTCTTAGTCTAAAACACTTGTAATTAGTTTGTTAGTAGAATCTGGTATTTTATGAATGTTGGCAACAGACTGTTGATTCAAAATTTGGGAAGCAGTAACACATCTAATTTTTTAGATTAAAATATTTCAAAGTTGAGTGTTAAGCTTCACTTTTTAAATTCATTTTTAATTTTGCCTTATTCATATAAATTAAAAAATGTTATTTTTTGAACTCTCATAAAATGGTTTATAAGAATGGAAAATATTCCTTAGAAATGGATTAGTTTTTAAAAAATATTCATATATGCATTATTCAAAGCCATATATATTGATACAAAATAAAAACACTGATAAATAAAAACTGTTAAAGACAAATTATTTATCCATTTGTCTTTTCCTAGCATGATCACTTTGATTCTAAGTTCTTCTATATAAGATGCTGAGTTGGTTAAATCTTAGTGTCTGATTTTTTAAAATTTTAAAAATCTGTGTTAATATAACTTTCTGACTTGTTTATGTGCATTTAACTCTAATATCACTTTAAAAACTTGTTTTGTTATAGTTATGTACACCCAAGGGAAATTATTTTTGTTTTGTATATTGGGTATTTTGTGTAAAAAAAAAAAAAAAAAAAATTTTCCACAGTAAAATATTTAAGCATAGTTTGCTAAAGTCTGAATGAGTGTATATGAATGTGTTTTTTTAAAAGGGTACTATAGCATTAACAGAATCATATCTGTGCATATTGTGATGAAAAATTGAATTCACTTTAACATTTCTCGTAACCAAAGCTAGTCCTTACTCAACTTAAACACTTAGTATACTTTTTTCTCTTTAAAAGTACTTCTAAGTCTCAAAAGTCTTTAATTTTTCATTTTTTCACATTTAAAGGACTGTTGGATTTTTTTTTTTAAATTACAGATCTTTTTACTTGGCCTATAATTTTTTTTTTCAAATTTTTATTCTAATTAGCATATAGTATAATATTGGTTTCAGGAGTAGAATTCAGTGATTCATCACTTAGGTACAATATGCAGTGCTCATCACAACAAGTGCCCTCCTTAATACCCATCACCCATTTAACCCATCCCCCCCCACCTTTTTTTCCCTTCTTCATGTTCATCTGTTTTGTTTCTTATATTCCATATGAATGAAATCATGTGGTATCTTTGTCTGACTTAATTTGCTTAGCATAATAGCCTAGCTCCATCCACGTTGTTGCAAATGGAAAGATTTCATTCTTTTTGATGGCCGAGAAATAGTCCATTATATATATATAGAGGAAAACACAACAGTTCAAACCTCTGGGACTCGCAGCAAAGGCGGTCATAAGAGGAAAGTATATAGCAATACAAGCCTATCTCAAGAACCAAGAAATGTCTCAAATACGTAACCTAACCTTACATCTAAAGAAAGGAGAAAAAAAAAAAAGGAACCCCAGGGCGCCTGGGTGGCTCAGAAGGTTAAGCGTCTGCCTTCGGCTCAGGTCATGATCCCAGGGTCCTGGGATCAAATCCCACATCGGGCTCCCTGCTCAGCGGGGAGCCTGCTTCTCCCTCTGCCTCTCTCTCTCTCTGTCTCTTATGAATAAATAAATCTTTAAAAAAAAAAAAAAAAGGAACCCCAGAAGGAGAGAAATAATAAAGGTTAGAACAGAAATAAATGATATAGAAACACAAAAACAATAAAAAGATCAATGAAACTAGGAGCGGATTTTTTGAAAGAATTAATAAAATTGATAAACCCCTAGCCAGACTTATCAAAAAGAAAAGAGAAAGGACCCAAATGAAATCATGAGTGAAAGAGGAGAGATCACAACCAACATCACAGAAATATAAACAATTAGAATAATATGAAAAATTATATGCCAACAAATTGGGCAATCTGGAAGAAATGGATAAATTCCTAGAAACCTATGAACTACCAAAACTGAAATAGAAAATCTGAAAAGACCCATAATCAGTAAAGAAATTGACTCAGGAATCAAAAATCTTCCAACAAACAAAAGTCCAGGGCTGGATGCCTTTCCAGGGGAATTCTACTAAACATTTAAAGAAGAATTAATGCCTATTCTTCCCAAACTGTTCCAAAAAATAGAAATGGAGTGAAAACTTCCAAGCTCATTCTACGAGGCCAGTATTACCTTTATTTGGCCAACAGTTTGGATATAATTTTCAACCTTTTTCAAAAGTCTCCAGCAATATATTTTTTCCTACATTTGACTTTTACAATTTTTCTTAGGTTATATTATGACAGCCATACTAAGTATATTTAAGATTCCTATCCCCTTTGGCTAGGATATATTAAAATCTTAGCGTGAACTCTATGTAATAGTTTTAATATATTTTCTTTTCTCAGAATTTATTATTAATCATAAAGTGATCAGTTGACTAAAGTTATATTATCATAATGCTTTTCCATAACATAATATTTCTCTCTTGACGTCCTCAAACACTGCTATCTCTGAATGTCTTCTCCTTAGTACTAAATCATCATTCTTTATAATCTAGTCAGTTTCTTAATGGTGCATTCATTCATCATACATTTTGGAAATCACCATATTCAATATAGGAGATACAAAAATGAGTCAAATTCTGATTCTTAAGATACAGTGGTGGAAACAAGGTAATTATAAGTGGTACATGGTATGTAATAAGGGTATATAATAGGTGCTTTAGGACGACAGAGGAGAGTGTACCTAACTTCCTGGGATTGAGGAACGAGTTGAAAAAGACTTTAAAAAAAAAAAAAGTGATCTCTGAGTCTGATTCTTGAAAGAAAGGTGGTATAATTTGTCAGGGAACTTAGGCAAACCTACAGGGAAGGAAATTATAGACCTCATATTACAGCCAAGCGTAACTGACTCAGTACAAACCAGTTTTGATTGCCAAGGCCCATGGAAGTTGGGGATAGGAAGTGAATGCTCATGGGTATGGAGTTTCTCTTTGGGGCTCTGAAAATGTTTTGAAACTAAATGGTGATAGTGGTTGTACAACTCTGTGAATATATTAAAATCCATTGATCTGTATACTTTAAAAAGGTGAATTTTATGATGAGTGTTTCAGTGAAGGTTCTTAAAAATTACATGTATGAAGCTTATATATAGCTTATGAATTCAATAAGCTATTCCTTGAGACTATTTAGAGAAGAATGGAGAAATGTAATGAAATTCTGATATCTAGTTTAGGGATCTCAAAATTAAAGGGAATAAAATCTCAAACCTCAAGGTTCAAAAAATAAATGAAAAGGAGAGCCCTAGGAAGGGGAAAGTAACATCCTTAGCCCAGGTCATTCTG